TATATATATATATATATATATATATATATATAATATATAAGGGAAACGATGATAATTACATGTGATTTTACTTCTACTGCCTTCATGATTTTCAGTAAGACTCGAAAGTGTTCCTGTCTTTATGAGTTCACATCCCATCTTACGACATGAAAATAATTTGAGTATGAAATATGATTTCTATATATTCTTGCCTAGTAGTCTACCGGCTCCTAGCATTACCAAAGTTTTCAGTTGACTTTTTTATGGTCCAAATATGTATAGATATTTTACCATGATGTCCATCTAAATAAGGACCTTTTCAGCATAATTAGTTGCAGTGCTTGTTGGTGAACTTTGATGCTTATTTGATGTTTCTTTAGCTCTTATAAAATTGTATTGACATATGAGATTGATATTTATTAAGAAGTCATTGAGACATCTCCATGGAGATCTATTGCATCATTAATATTTTTACATAACTATGGATGTTTTCTGATGTATCGAGAAACGTGAAATATTATGATTTCGTGGGAAAAATATAAAAACACGGCCCACACGCCTGTGGAACCAAAAAAAAATCCTTCATGAGGAGAAGCAAAGAATTTATTGTGGATACGATTATCTTCACAAGGTCTCCAGATCAGATTCATAGTAATGCCAGAGCAGAAGTGGGAGTTTGTTCAACACTGAAAAAAATGCACATTTTATCATAAATTATCAACATATTAACAACGTACTGATCTAGCAGAGTAAAAATCTGGGGTTAATTTAATAGCTGGATGATCAGCTGGATATTTTAGTTAATTCCTATGGTTCCTCAATGAGCTCATATTTCTAACGGTTTCAAGTTGTCAGTCTCTAATGAACAGGTTTAATGTGCAAGGATTTCCCACTATCTTGGTTTTTGGGGCTGACAAAGACCACCCAATCCCATATGAAGGTGCAAGATCAGCCTCCGCTATTGAGTCATTTTCTTTGGAGCAGCTGGAAACAAATGTTTCCCCTCCTGAAGTGACTGAGTTGACCAGCCCCGTAAGATCTGCCCCCACCCCTTAAAATGAAAAGGAAAAAAAGCTTCTTTACTATCCAACATGAGTTATCAGTACAAAACACTTACAAAACTGTACTTGTAGGATATTTTGGAAGATAAGTGTGGTTCAGCAGTCATCTGTTTTGTTGCCTTCCTTCCTGACATTTTGGACTCCAAGGCAGAAGGCAGGAATAAGTACCTGGAATTTCTGTTATCAGTTGCAGAGAAATTCAAGAGAAGCCCTTACAGGTTAGGATACTAGGCCATCACTTGAATTTGTCAATATCCCTAAAAGCAGGACAAGCTTGTTTGGTTTGTATTTCAGTGTTCAGTTTTTAGTTAATTTTCAATTTTCTGTTTTGAGGTCTGTTTTAAGCCCTTGTTTGAGCCCCATTTTTTATTTTTTTGGAGAATGTGATTAAAAAACAAGAAATTTTTTTGGTTTTGAATGTAAAATTATTTTATGGGAGTGTGAGGTTGAAAAAATTAGGTTTTGGAAAGAATGGGGGCTAAACTTAGGCTAAGATTACTAAAAATGTGTTTGATTTGTCATTCTGAAAAATTATTTCTCAAAACCAAAAACTAGAAAAAATCTTTGGTAGCCCTAAGTCTGAAGAAGTGAAGAAGACTAGAAGTTGGAGCTAAGACTTGGGTATTGCAAATGTGCAGTTACGTATGGGCGGCTGCAGGTAATCAGCCAGATCTTGAGAAGCATCTTGGAGTTGGTGGCTACGGTTACCCTGCTTTGGTAGCCCTAAATCTGAAGAAGCAGTTATATGCTCCACTTAAGAGTGCATTTGAGCGTGATCAGATAATGTAAGTACCTCTCTTTCTCTCGTCCCCTCTCTCTGTGTGTATTGGGGTCATATAAGCATAGCATATTCCATTCCATGTCACAGAGAATTTGTGAAAGAAGCTGGACTCGGTGGGAAAGGTAATCTGCCTATGGCAGCCACCCCTGTGGTTAGGAAGACTGAACCCTGGGATGGTAAAGATGGACAAATCATTGAAGAAGATGAGTTCTCGCTTGAAGAACTTATGGGGGATGACACTGGAAGCAAGGATGAATTATAGCTTATATGCTAATTTAGAAAATGAGAATTTGAGTTTGAAAAAACACGTAAGTTTTGGTGAACAAGTTGTTGTATTGCCTTGAACATTAATTTTCTGACATTTGACTATGATCCTATGTGTCCGTTAATGCCCTTGAACCTCAACTTCAAAATCTCTCCGATGAACAGCTGCAAAAAGGAAGCTTGGAATGCAACATGTCGATGTTCAGGTTGCCTATAATTGGCTAAATATATGTATACAATACTGTGTAATGGGGGCAAATGCAAGAATGTGACTATTTGTTTCCTGGTAAGTGTGTTTTTGCACACTTAAATAATTTGTAGATAAATTTAAATATTGATTAAATAAGCGAATTTCTACTCACAATTATGTAATTATTGTTTTTGTAGATAAAAATCACCCAAGGTAATAAAACGAAACAAAAGGCAGGGAAAAGGGACCGAAAGAGTACAAAGTTGTTAAGTTGGGGACTAAAGTGCATAAGTTAAAAAGATGAAGGACTTGGATTGCAACTTATATAAAACTTGATTGAAATAAAAGTCAAAATTTGAGGACCGAACTCTATAAGATTGTAGTTGAGGGACGTGATACACAATTACCTAGGAACCTAAGCTGCAAATAAGGGAAGCAATTGTAGTGACTAGGCGCCATGTTCCTAATTTGTTTACAGAACTCCAGCGCCTNTATCTTATTTTGTAGAGTTTTAATTAAATTTCTTTATTTTCTAAAATCAAATCTTATTGTTTTTTTTGTTTTTATTGTTAAAACTAAATTTATTAAAGTTGTGTAATCGAAAGTTAACATTCATTTAGGAATCAATAACTTTGACTCAAAAATTCCACTTTATTACTTGAACGCGACTTATACACTCTCATTTTGCACTTTCTTAGCAAACATTTAATTTTGGAGAAATTATAGTACGGACATGCTCTCGTTGTTGGAATTTAGAGACACAAAGTAAGCTTCGGAGTGAATATGTTTCAATATTTGCAGCTCCAGTGTAATTTAGGAACATGCTCGAAATGGGTGGTGGAGGGGGAGGAAGAGATTTAAAAAAAAGGAAAATGGTTGCAATTAGTTTTTGTTTTTCTTTTCTTTTCTTTTCGTTTTATTTAAATAGGAAGGTATATTCGTAATTTCACAATTTTTATTGAGAAAATTGATGAAAATAATGATTTTCTTAATGAAAGATGAAAATAAGGTTGAAATGCAATACACACACACACACACACACGCGCGTAAATTTTGTACAATCAACTTCAAACGTAAAATCATTTTGTGCTAATAACCCTATATATATACACACACACACACACTCACACACACACACACACACACACACACATACACGTAAATTTTGTACAATCAACTTCAAACGTAAAATCATTTTGTGCTAATAACCCTTGATTTTAACCTCCACCATAATCAACACCAAATGGAGGCTTACTATTTTCAATTCACCACCTGACTACCCGAAAACCACTTGAAGCCTAAAGAGCTGAAATTTGAGAACGAAAAAGCAAAATTGAAGGGAGATTATTACAGTTGACATTGGTCTATTATATATCCTTGTCAAATAAAAACCCATAACGTGGACTCCAAGATAATTACTCGAGCGTGGGTATGATCTTTTAGTCGATAACATCACAGAGAAGTTGTAACTACACAGGTCTGTAAACTCCATCAGATGGCGAAGTTAACTCACATGGGCTAAAATGAAACCAATTTACTCGAAAACTAACCTCTTTCATCGTCATATTGTTGTGCGTCAAAAAGGGAGCACAATCCAATACAAGAACTTCAAAAACACTAAAAAATTTACAACCCTATCTACTGTGAAAGTATATCTTGGGTTGGAGGTAGGGGGGTGGGGTAGTTAGTACCCTGTAGCATGTACCCAAAAGAACAGCACTGGCATTAGACCTAAAACAAATTGTATGGTCGTAGATTTTATCCCTTGCTAAAAGTTCTGTTCACTGCTCCTCCAGTGTGACTTCCAACCACAGTTGGAGCTCTTCAATTTTCTCAAGTCCACGATGTTTCCCAGTAATTTGAATTATTTATTCTTTGTAGGCATTCTTTTCTCAAAGGCGAATCTGTAAATATGGCTCTTATGAAGTCTTCCACCTGCAAAGAGGAGCGAGTAAATATCACGAATTGATGACATGGACATTAAAAGGGCAATGTCTCCATCCATTACAAATGGAATGTTGTTGCCTTGTGCGGAATCAGAAAACAGTTCAAGTTCAAATGACTTTTCATACCTCTGATAGCGTAAAATTGCATTCAACAAGTTCACCACTTTCCCAGGCGGTAGTGATAGACTTCAAAGGCATGTCCAAAAGTTCTAATGAAAGTGCATAGAAAATAGAGTAAAGGTCGCTAACAAATTTAGATAATCAACTACTTCAAAAGTGAGATCTAAAATATGACGAGAAAAGATACCTGCCAGTTTGCGCAACTTCCGCAGGGATGGTATGAAATTAGCAAGAGTTTCTCTCTGGACCTCCTGTGGCTTCCCTCTTCCACCAACAGTTGACAGGGACTCTAATAAAGATGACAGATGCTCAAACAGCAAATGGATGAGTGTTTGAAGCTGCAGTCCAAAAAGGGATAAAATATTCATTAGCTTAGATGATTGCAAACTTTATTGGAGGCAGATTTGTGCAGTGCACCTGCAATGTTTCTTCTGCTGCCATATCATCTAACAGAAGTATGTCTTTTGCAATTCTTGAAAAGACAGCCTCCAGAACCACGCTCATACTCTTCTCATAAATATATGATAATAATAGAGGCTCCCAGATGATGCGTACTTTCTCGATTATGAAAGCAACCTGATCATGAACTCAGGCAAGCTTCTTAGAGAATGTAGACACCCCCAACCCGAAAATTAAAACAATACAAATATAAACACACACACACACACAGAGGGGGAGAGAGAGAGAGACTTTTTGGTATGGAAAAACTATGATTATAGTCTTGGTCAGATCATGAAGTGTGTAAATTGCATAATGTGATGAGATAAGGCAATCTTTGCTATCAACAATAACCAAACCTTTTTCTTTTCGATGTAAAGGTGCACGAATCATTTAAAAAGTATACCTGTTCAATACTAAACTTGGCAGACTCGAACTGTTTCATCTGGTGGGTATTTTGAAATCCATCAGCCCCATCAATAGCCTTGTCAGAAACATTACAGCATAATTAGTTTACAAAACATTTTAGCTTTGGAAGTTCTAAAAGGCATTTGGCCATGAAAATAGGGCAAGAAAACATCATTAGACAGCAACATGGCATCATTTTCCTAATAAGGTACTATAGGTGGAAAAGACTAGCGAATAAATGCGAAAATTATGCAAACATACACCACTTTTCCTCTACAAGTTATATTTGTATAAATATGCAAGTGATATTATGACCTCAAAAATTACATCCATTGTGGTAAGCAAGCATATCTCAAGATTGTAGTAAAGATTGTCTCTATTATCCTTCAAAACCCTTAATTGATCTTTAATCGAGTATTACGTTTCATTCAAGTACTAACTCTTTTCCACATGTACATGAATGAGGATTCTTCATATTCATAGAAATCAGTTCTTCATAATTGTCATGAAGTGTTCAAGTATTATACTAGAAGTGCTCGGCCCATGTCCAAATTTCTGGCTCTGGTTTGTGACATGGGTCAAAGAAGTGTTTCACACATGTCAGAAAGGATCTGAAGAGTGTTTTGCCTAAGTGTAGCCTTCTTTTTTTTTTTTTATAAGTCAAGTGTAGCCTTCTTGAGAAAGTGCTTCTCAGGAAAAGAGATGCTTAGAAGATACAGTAGAGGACACCACATACATTTTTCAGTTCTACGTATATACCTCTTTCAAGTTATATATGACAAGCTGAATTTGTCTCTGCAATACTTCTTCAGCCATCAACTGAAATCTTGGAGCCAGATCAATAAATACAGCGAGTTCCTTAACAAAACTGGGAAAGTACTGGCGAAACTGCAACGTTAAAGATAATATGATAAGCCTACCAGAAAATATAAAAAGAAAAGTGACACATCACACATTAAAAAACCCACTTTTCCTATGGAAAAAAAAAAACCCCACTTTTACAAATGAAAAATGTGTCACCATTTACAATATCTGTGGACCCACTGCATCATATATATTGCCATTTAAAAATGTTAAAGAAAACCAAGCAATCTTGGACATGCTGCCTCTATCATTCTGAAATTAGGTATTCCATATAGATAGCGTAGAAGCAATTTAGTTTAGAAAAAAACAAAACCCATCCATGCATACCTCAAATGCAAGACCAAGAATCTCCTCAGACAGGTAGAGACAATCATTGTGAATGAGCACAGCAGCCTGGTTAATGGAATCAAGCTGCCTCTCAAGCTTCATAGTCCAAAGAAGATATCAGAACAATCATTGCATTGTTCAAATACAAGTTGTCAAAAAAATGTAATAATATTTGCAGTGCTCGACTGTGATTGTCAGCGGATGAATAGCAAGATCATAAATGTAGTGCAATTGCAGCCTTGAAGATATTTTAACTTTATTAACACTATTTTTTCTTATTTTTGGTGGCATTTGGAGATTTCCAAATGACTTTCTGCACTAACCTTCACAGGTATAACAGCTTCATAAAGAACTAAAGCATTTCTAGCAGCGTGATAGAATTCCAACCCCACTGTTGGAGGTAACAAGCAGACATCCTGCATGAAGCTCCAAAAGAGTTACAACGGCATTCTAGAAAATACAACTGCGGGCAAGCGCACGCACACGCACATGTGTTTATGCACGTAAAAAAACTGAATATGATCAGAGCCCAGATACCCTTCAACAATAATATATTGATGCAGCAACTATAGCATGTATCCATACAGGTACAGTGACATTTGCATTATATAGTTTTTTCCGCAACCAGTGGCTAGATATTTCTATGATTGAGTTTATGAAGGCAAACTTTTAAAAGCTAATGTCATATAAACCAAAGTGAAAAGCTGATTTTTTGCTTCTTCACTGCTTCACTAATCATGAACAATTACGCAGAGTTCAGGTAATGCAGCCTCCTATTAGAATAACCCTGAAGGGTAGCTCAGTGATCAGACCTTAGATTTGCTTCTCAATGATCACCAGTTCGAGTCCCCTCAAGGCTACTGAGGTGAGTACCCGACTGTAAACTTCAGGGTCCCATGGGATTTGTTGAGGAGCGCGTAAGCTGGCCCGGACCCCCACGGTCATTTAAAAAAAAAAAAAGAGAGAATGACACAAAATTTAACTTTATTTATTTATT